CCCTGGTGCCCTCTGCTCCCACAAGCCTCAGGGGCCAGACCGCACCCCGGCCACCCTGGGCTCTGGCCTCCTGCCCAGTGCTGGTCTGACCCCGGAGCCTGGACACGAGTGCATCTGCCCCAGGCCGCATGCTGGTGGAGACCATGGCACAGCGCCTTACCCTGGTGCCCATCTGCCCTGAGCGCCAAGGGCGGGCAGCAGAGTCCCTGCGGGGAGGCTGTGGGGCTCGGGCAGTGACCCTTGTTTTCTCAAGACTGGGGAGGAGACGGTGGGTCCTGCCTCAGGGTGACGCCCGCGGCTGCTGACACCAGCGGTCTGCGGCCCGCCTCCCCCTGCCCTGCAGGGGGTCTCGCCCCGTGCCACTGCCCCGGGCCCCGCTTTGGCCTCCGTGGACAAGGTGAACCCCTTTCTGCAGGGGCCCTCTGGGCAGAGCAGGAAGCAGGGTGGTGCCAGGCCCTCAACGGAGGGTGTGGGGGGGGTGGGGGTGACCCCTCACGCCCACGGGGGCCTCTGGGCCACTCAGAGCTCAGAGCTCAGTTCAGAGTCTGCCGGAGGGAGGCTCTGGGGGAGGCGTGGGGTGTCAGCGTGGCCGTGACCAGCCCGCACCGGGTGAGGGTCCGAGCAGGGCCTGGAGGGGCCCTGTGCCCTGCCTTCGCAGTAGGGGGTGGGACGAAGGTAGGGCGGGCGGGAGGGGGAGCTGAGGCGGAAGCCAGAGCGCAGGGTCTCGCCCGCGGAGGGTGTCTGGAAGCAGAGGTGTCCAGCTCCGTGTGCAGGGCAGCGAGCCTGACCTCCCAGTCACCCGTGGTGTGTCCGGCAGCCGGCTCCTCGCCGGGCCACGGCTGCAGCCCTGCTCTCGTGTGAGCAGATGAGTTCATGAGGAAATAATAGGCGACTCCCTGGGCTGTGGAAATAGCTGGTGGCAGACTCAGGGCGCCTGGATGCTAATTCCACTTCCTGCAGCAGCTGCCCGAGGCCCCGCCCCCGGGAGCCTGCCCCGGGCCAGGCTGGGGCGCTTGCCCTGACCTGGGTGTTAACTGCCCGTGCGTCCCCGCAAGTGGGCAGCTCAGCGGTGTTCCCAGCGGGCTCGAGGCTTGCTGCAGCCTTGTTTGATCCCTACCCTGGCTCGGCCGACGCCCAGCACCCCGAAGGGTCTACCTTCCCTGGGCGCGTGGGCTCCCACTGTCCTGGCCATCCCAGGTGGGGAGCCAGGCTCCGCCCTCGGCATATTTTGGAGACCTGGCCGGCGGCTCGGCCTGCCCCGTCGGGGTCCAGCTCTCAGCCCCCAGAGGTTAGCTCATTGCAGGGGGCAGAACCCTCCGTGCCGGCCCAGTTTAGACGTGATCAGGCAGTCGTTGGGGCTGTCAGAGGCTCAGCCGGCGCTCAGCTGGTGGCCCCGGCCTTGGGGACACGCGACATTACCCCCGACCCCCGCCGCCTTCCACCACTCCCCTCCCCGCCCCCGCCTCTCACAGATTTGGCCCAGGCAGCTCAGCGCTGTTTCCCAAAGAGCCGTGGGGCTCCTCAGACCTCCTGGTGCCTTTGAGGATAAACGCTAAAAATACCTGTCTGGTGTGCGGGAAATGGGGCCGCGGAGCTGACGGGAGTGGCCTGCGGGGTGGTTCTGATGACAGCGTGAAGCCAAGGGCGGCCGGCGGGCCCGGTGGGGCTGCACCGGGTGTCTCCGGGTGACAAGGCCCCTGCGCCGGCCCAGGCTCCCCGGAGGCTGCCCCGGACAAGGGTGCTGGGCACGGGCCCGCAGGTCGCTGACACCCGCCCGACACAGGTGCAGGGACCGTCTCAGCCGGCCCCTCATGCCTTGTGCGAGGACTTCGGAGCTCAAAGTTGGGGATCTTGCTGGGATTTTCAGGGCCATGCAGGAGCCCCTTTTCCTCCCATCTCTGGCTGGAGTGGGGCGTCCCGAGGCAGGGTCGGGGAGAGGCCCAGCTGGGGCGGAGACGCGGGCTCTCGCTGTGGGACGTGTTCCGCTGCTGTGCGCACCAGCACCCAGGGCTTCTGGGCTCGCTTCTTCCGGGGTCTGCCACCAGCTCCCGGCGGCAGCCCACACCTCCCTGCGGCCCCAGCGCCACCTCCTCCTCCACGGTACGCGCTGACTCGGGCTTGTCCCCAGCGTGTCACGTACGTGCCCGAGGCCCCTCTGCCGGAGCCGCCTTTCTGGGCCTGCGTCACCTGAGCATCTTTCTGGAAAAGCCCCCAAGTGCCCCCAAGTGTCGGACCTGTGTCCTGAGTCGCCAGCAGCAGGCCCCCAGCGCCAGCATCGTCCTGGCCACCCCGTCTGGCTCCCTGTCCACCAGCTGTGGCCTGCGGCTTCCCAGCGGTCAGCCCTGCGTCTGCCGTGCTGACGCAGTGTCCACGGGACCGGAGGGCAGGCTGCTTCTGCCCGCCCCGGGCGCTGACGCCCCCACGCGGAGACGGCCCCTGGGCGTCGCGTGCCGTGGGCTGGCCGTGGCCGCCGCTCACGTCTCTGCTTCCTGTTTTCCCAGACGTGCTGTGTCCGAGCGTCCGTGTGGAGGGAGATCGCTTCAGGCTCACCAGCGGGGGCACCAAGGAAATCACAGGTGAGGCGCAGCGCTGGTGCCGGGAGCCTGTGCACCTGTGCGCCCCCTCCCGCGGTCAGGCCGGCCGCGCTGCTCCTGTCCCTCGCCGCCGCCCCCGAAGTCCCGATGGAATGGCGTGGATGCTGCAGGGGGCCTTGTCTGGAACTGTCCCTGGCAGAGCACAGTCACTTCTTGCCCATGCCAGGCCCCTATTGCCCTTACCCATGCCAGGCCCCTATTGCCCATGCCAGGACCCTATTG